TCAAATTATACATATGACACTGGAGGTACAATATTTTACTGAGAAAATGCCAAGAATAGAAGCTTTCTTGGATACTGACAATAATATGCCAATGTGCATTATTATAAACAAAGGCACACATTCTATAATTTCCAAATTTTCATTCTCATAATTTACTTACTTTTAGCACATAATCATGCAATTACGGCAGTAAATGACCTACAAAGGTCATCTAAGTCCATGACACCAGCAATTCTTTCATAACAGAAAAAGATAACATATAAGAACAGAATTAATTTTCATATGTAGCACAAGGACTATTCACAGGATGAGGAAGATTTTTCTGCTTTAAATTACTAATCTGAATGCAGACTCAGGCCAACAATAATTGAAAATGTGAGAGAAGAATTTCGACACTGCAATAATACAGAGCATAAAATAACAAATTCAGGAATTGTGGCTCGTTCTAAAAGACCATACTATCAGACCATAATAGTAAACCTATTTTACAATAAATTTTATCCTTACTTAGATATGTATGTAAATGCTACTTGGAGATAGCATGAAGTCCAGAACACTTTCTTAAACTAAATTCTACACACACGTGGAGCAAAAAAGGTGAAAGTACTCACAAATAATTAATCTTGAAAGCATATGCATAAAAAAATGACATTACTTCCGTACTTGTAATTCATCAACACTTAATGATACTTTATTGCATAACACAGCATATTTTCCAGCTTGATTCTATTGTCTTTATCTTTTTATCCAGAATGACTAGGCAAAAGATGGTCTAAGTCATAAATTAGCTTTGTATTGATTAAATGGTATTTACTGCATGATAATTAACACATTCTAGAGTCAATCATAATATTCATCAACTAAAGATGTACTCAAACCCTTCTTACTAGGTGTATCAGTTAATAATGCAGATTTTGTAATCAAAGAAAACATGATAATGTCAAGAGAAACATCAAAAATGCTTTATTCAAAGTAATGTCCATCGCTAGCTACACATCTCCCCCATCTTTTAGGTAATTTGTGGATACCGTCCCAATAGAACTTCTCTTGTTTTGAGGCAAACCATTCGGAGACCCAATTTTCCACTTCTTCATATGTTTTGAAGTGCTGCTCAAAAAGTGCTTGTGCCATCGATCGGAACAAGTGGTCATCTGAAGGAGCAAGGTCTGGTGAATACAGGCAAGATCTTTTAATGCATCTTTAACTGGTTTTGAAGTGTGTGATGGTGCATTATCATGAAGCAAAATTACTTTGCCACGTGTTCTGGCACATTCTGGTCATTTCACAATCAAAACGTGGTTCAAACTGTTTGTTGATTGTCAGTGGCGATCAGTGTTAACAGTTTCACCTGGTTTTAGAAGCACATAATACACCTCAAACTTTTTCGGTTGACCTGGACGTTCTTTTGTCTTTCACATCGAAATCATCATTTTTAAAATGTTTAAACCCGCATTCACAAGTATCTTGAGCAAATGCTCTTTTTTGGCACGAAATTAGACATTTTTCAACGTAAAAATATCTATGATGTTAACACCTTCAGAAAATTTGACATACGGAGTTTTGATGCTTGTTGTCCATACAACAAAATAGCATACGTATCAAATCGCATATATATCAACATATGTGTAACTCCATCTATTGAAAAAAATCCGCATTACTAACTGGTTCACCTAGTATTTATAGCATTCTTACATTATCCTCTTTCACAATTAATACTAAGCATCAGCCCTGACCGGTCTGGCTCAGTGGATAGAGCATCGGCCTGTGGACTCAAGGGTCCCAGGTTCGATTCTGGTCAAGGGCATGTACCTTGGTTGCGGGAACATCCCCAGTAGGGGGTGTGCAGGAGGCAGCTGATCGATGTTTCTCTCTCATCGATGTTTCTCTCTTCTCTATCCCTCTTCTTTCCTCTCTGTAAAAAATCAATAAAATTTATTTAAAAAAAAATACTAAGCATCAAAGGAGTGATAGTCTTAAGAAAATGCCAAGAAGAAATGAAGATTTACTAGGGACTGAGCTTGACAGTATGGTAAAATGATTCCATAATTCAAACCAATAGGAGAACTGATAAACGCATAAGACTAGAGGCTATGACAGTAGATAATAATATAATAAAAAGATGTTGAGAAAAACAGGATTATATTCCAATGTGTCAATCACACTTTAATAGATATTTTAAATCACCACTAAGACTGAGATTTCTTTGTAAGTTTGGGGGGAAAATCCAATTAAAACACACAAGTTTATAGAGGGGGGAATATAAATTTAAGTGTGGGATCAGAGAACTGGGGACCATTTAGACAAAAATCATTAATCCAGCTACAATTTATTGAGTGCTTGATATGTGTCAGGCCCTGTATGAGACACACAGGATACAACAAGGAACATATCAGGCAAAAAATCCTGGCCTCATGATGCTTACATTCTAATGGCTATAAGAATAGCCATTTAAAATAAATGGTTAAAAAAAAAAAAGGAGTAGGAGTGGGAGTAATTATGTAAAGCCATGCAGTGCCTTCCCACTTCTCAAGGACACAACTACTTAGCATAGACTCAGGTTGCAATTTACATCTTCTAGGCCTATTCCAGAAATTTTTCCATATATGATAGCATCAATGAGAGGAATAGGAAATTTTAATGAAAAACCTAAATAATAAGAAAACCCATCTTAATGTCTACTTACTAGACTATAGAACTGTCAACCAAAACGGAAGGAATTTAATCCAAACAGAGACTGCATCAAATTTTAGAAAATACTTATGCTAAAGGCACTCTGTATGAGACTCTGAAGATGCACTTAATGAGCTAATAGATACTTTATCTTCTCTAATATCTGAAATTCCCGGAATACTTTCATTCAGAGGACTATTTAATATGAACTAGTGGTTACAGTTCATATCCTAGCACAAAATAGCCTCTCAACATAATGCCACTATCTCAATTTGTACTGGTATTTTTTGCCTGACTCGAAAGAAAAGCTAGCAACTACATTAGCTAACGGCTTAACTACATGCTTATCCCCAGTAGGTAAAGGAAAATGGTTAAGGTGCTAGGAGTTTGCACATAAAAGGCAGTATTAAGGTTAACATGCTTCTAATATTCTGCTTGTCACAAGGAATCTAACATCTAACACTAGCTATTTCATGTTTCTAGGCTGTTAAGCAGATTAAAATAATAAGCAGAGTAATTTTATGTTCAATTAAAACTTAATGTCAGACTTCAAAGTTAAAAACAGAAATTGTAAAAGAGAAAGTTGATAGATTTGAAAATTCACCGAAGAAACTACCACGATTATGAAAAAAATTCTTTCAATCTACAAATGTCTGCTATCTTTTTCTTTTTATTTCTTAAAGTATTACAGAGTATTACACGTCTCCTCCCCACCCCACTTGACGTTCCCTCGACTTCCTCTACCCCCCAGTGTCTTGTGTCCATTAGTTATTCTCATATGCATGCATATAAGTCCTTCGGTTGATCTCCTACCTACCCCGCAGGGTTCCCACTGTAGTTTGACATTCTGCTCAATGCTGCTCTGCCTCTGTATCCATTTTTGTTCATCAATCTATAATGGTCCTTATTATCCATAAATGAGTGAGTTCATGTGGTATTTTTCTCAGCTTCCCAGGGGCCATCTCAGTTTCACAGGGGCCGTCCCAGCCTCACAAGGGCCATCTCAGCCTCACAGGGACTATCTCAGCCTCACTGGTGCCGTCTCAACCTCACTGGGGCCGTTGCAAGCTCCCTGGGGCCATCTCAATCTCACCAGGGCAGTTTCAACCTCACCGGGGCCATCTCAATCTCACTGGGGCCGTTTCAACCTCACCGGGGCCATTTCGACCTCACCGGTGCCGATTCAACCTCACCGGGGCCGTCTGAGCCTCCCTGGGGCCGTCTCAACCCCACAGGGGCCGTCCCAACCCACAGGAGCCATCTCAACCCCACTGGGGCCGTTTCAACCTCACCAGGGCCATTGCAGCCTCACCGGAACCTCCCTCACTGGGGCCATCCCAGCCTCTCGGGGGCCATCCCAGCCTCACGGGGACCACCTCGGCCTCACGCGGGCTGTCTCGGCCTCCCGGGAGCAGTCTCCGCAACACGACCTTCAGCATTCCGTCCTTGGTTGGGCAGCTCCTTGCTGGACAAAATCTCCAGGCATTCCTCGTGGCTGAATATCTGCACAGACTGTCTGTCTGCTGTCTCTCAGCGTCCCATGTGAGACTGGATCTGGTGGGCCTGCCTGTGCGTTTGCTGGTACAGCGGTTCCACATTGCTGGCCCAGCCGGGTCCGGCTCCAGCTTCCTCTGAACCTGATTCTGCTTCTTGAGGAGTTGAAATCTGCATTCTCCTGGGCTGGGCTGCAAAAGTGCAGGTGGTTCTCTTTGTGCCACTAGCACAGCTTGGGTGGGGATGTAAATTGAGTAGGGCGGGATCCCCGGGAATCACCAGGGTGGAGCAAGGGGCAATGGCGTCTCCACGCCTCCTCGCCTCTCTGCGACTCAGCGTCTCAAGTCCCCGAGTGCCAGCGAGCAGCGCCGTGAGACAGCCACTCTCACTCCCCAGCCTGTTGCAAGGCCGTCCAGCCTCTCCCAGTCTGGGGCCTCAGAATTCTGCCCCAAACCAGCTCAGTGGACTCGAGAGTCTGCAACCCCTTCTAATTGAAAAAAACCGTGCATCCAGTTGCAGTCTGCCTGGCGCGCGACTCCGTACCTCCGTTCTTGGAGCCTCTGCACAATCTACTCAGTCTCAATGCTCTTCTTTCTTTCCTTCCAGTTGTAGAGCTTCCACTGGGCCAGCTTTCCCATGGTTCTGAATGAAAACTGTTTGTTTTATAGTTGGTAGTCTCAATGTTGTTGTGGGAGGCAGCACGCACAGGTCTATACCTTACACTGCCATCTTGGTTCTTCTGTCTCCTATCTTTTTTTAATAATAATCATAATGGTTTGTAACTTTATTAAAAATAATTGAGAAGACAAAAATTAAGCGAAGGACTAGATACTTACACCACTGGGAGGGAATTGAGCATACTTTACATGAGGTGAAGCAATATCCTTTCTAGAGATGATCAGCGTTATTTACCATTCTGTAAATAAAGACACAAAATCCAGAATTATTTGTTAATCAAGTATTGAATTAAAAATTTAATTATATAACTCAAGGATATGAACATTTAACATCAGTTAATCATGTCTTTAAAATTATTTTAAAATAAGACATTGGTTTAAAACAAAATTTTAAAAATAGGAAAGTACTAGTGATAGCCTTCAAAATTATTCACTTGGAAAAAGTATTGAGCCTGGCACACATAGCTCAGTGGTTAAGTATTGACCTATGAATCAGAAGGTCACAGTTTGATTCCCAGTCAGGGCATATGCCCAGTTGTGGGCTCGATCCCCAGTGTGGGGTGTGCTGGAGGCAGCCAATCAATGATTCTCTCTCATCATTGTTGTTTCTGCCTCTTCCTCTCCCTTCCTCTTTGAAATCAATAAAAATGTTTTTTAGAAAAGGTAATGAAATCAAACGCT